AGACCGGGTTGAGACCAGAATCTCGGACACGGGAGATTGAGGGAGCAAAGTCGAGTAGTGGTTCACGTCGTGTTTTCCACCACTGGAGTTCTTGGCCATACTAGTACCATACCCAAACACTCCATGTATTGACGAAACCACCTCAGTGATCCCCAGTGTAATATGCCATGCATGGAGTGTTTGGGATATAGACTTAGATATACATAGATCATTATGGATCCACTCCACAGTCCAGCTAGCACAACCATACCGCGGTGAGTCCACGACTTGGTGACTACTCGGAGCTCGTGCCAGTGGACTGCTCCACTTATACGGTATACAACAGCATCTCAAATACTTCCTGTAGTGTATGATGAAGGCACGCAGCAAACACATTGAACAGTATTCAACTGATACTTATTGAATCACAACATAAAACAAAATTAACTCTGTATTATATACCTCAACCAGCCGATGCAGCCCTTGAGGGCAGTGATTCAGTGAGGGCTGAACAAGCAAAACTCCACTTATTGGCCATCACAGACAATACTACTTGTTTGATAACTTGTTCCTTAAAACAATGGAACTCCTGTGCAGTTGTACTTGCACTCATAGGAACTTGTTGCACAGAAAAGTTCTACTCATACTCCCGGTGCTGAGCAACACCCCTGTCGCAGGCGCGAAAAAGCCAAGCCCCTACAAGCCCGGTCGCCGTGGGGGCCTTTGAATGACTCTCACCATCATAGCTTTCTCATTCTACAAGCACGCCAGGCTGAGGGCTGAGGCTTCTAATGTAGGCCTTCATGCTTATATCGCACCAGCGGGCCTGGACCCGCTTGCCATGATGGAACCAATTCTCCACTGGAAGACCAACTAAAACATGAGCAGACTACCTACCACCTACCTTCTCCAGACTCCTTCGGGAACCAATTCTGCACTGGAGTGAAGGCTTCATGTGGCGGCTTCAATGATGGGGTCGGTGGCCGGAATCGTCCGGTTTGGTCGTCAAATGTCCTCGTCGTCGGGTCGCGCCCAGGCCAATCCTGGCAGCCCGAGCGCTCAGGCGGGATAAGTTACCAGCAAGGCATCCTTTGTGTCCTGGGGTTTTCCATATTTGCGTCACAAGGGCAGTTTATGTCCCAGACTTGGACCACTATAGGTTCTGAATCGCACCCATGTTCAAAACAGTTCCGTATACAGTCCACCTGTTCCACCTGCGCTGGGCTGCCCGCAGACCGGCGTCACTGGTGCACAAGGAAGCCGCCAAGAGGCGCCACCGGGCGGTTCCGGTGCAGACGGGGGAATTCAGAATTGGCCAGGTTAGACGAATTCAGGTAGCCTTTACGTATATGTTTTTAGAATCTTGAAGATGAACGTGTGGCAAAGGGACTGGCTTCTGGTGGCTTTGCTGAGCCTGGTGAAGAGCATCACGGGCCTGCAGCGGGTACAAGTATATATAGCTCATAGATGGTCAATAATATTCATTATAATTCATTCATGACCAAGATTGAAGCTGCGGATTTCGGCAGACGCATTGAGCAAGGCATTCCCGTAATGAATTTGTGTTCCTTGATGACCCGGTGTACCAGGATGTAATCGGAGACATCAACGAAATGTGGAGGGAATTTTGGCGTTCAACGATGGAATCACCAACACATGCGATCACCCAAAGAAGCACGTGAGAAAAGAATGGAGATGTTGATCGACTCAGATCTTCACGTTTGTCGTTTCTGCATGCTTCTGCCAGGCAAAGAGCCAGATAGATATGGTGAAGAAATGGCACAAGGCATCGAGGCGGGCTCCACAGCTTATCCAAGGAGATGGGTTTAGGATCGAGGGGTGTGTGGGTGTGTGGTCACAAAAACTGATTCAAACATAAGTCAACACGGTGCTTCAAATTCCTGCTTCCAAGCAGTGTACAACCCACCAGAGGTACTGGTAGGCTGCAACAAAATGCAACAAATAGCAAGCAACGCCATAATCTCCATTTGCAACTAAAAGTATTTGCTACCTTTCAATGATTGATGCACCATAGACATCAATACACCTTTTGTGTGAGGACTTGAGTTTTCCTTGTCTTTGCTGACTATCCAGCCAGCAAAGGTAGTTCTGCACAGTCCTGCAGGCTTCCACATACTGTTCCCAAAAAAACAAAGCAAACAATTTAATTTCCATCAGATTTAACGACATAAGCTCGAGTAGGCGTGATATCATTGGATTCCACGCTCAGGATCTGGATGGACTCGGTTTGTTCCATACTATACGTAAGTAGAGAACCAAACTTGCGGTGTATGAAACCGGCTTGCTATATCATGCTATAACAGCGTGGAATAGAAGAACAATTGCAAGCTATTGTAAGCTCATGCAAACTGGTTTCAAGTTATAAGACAACCTGAGCCCAGAGATCCTTTGCGTGCGTCTCAAACTGTTCCACACCCCACACCCTCGGCGAATGCGGAACATGTTTCAGGATCCCTGGTGCTAAGACAAATGGAGTGAATTAGAAAAGTATATCATGAATGAATATCATTGATTTGGCCCATGCAGATGAGTGAAAGCCCTCCCCATTGGTAGGTAAACATAGACAAACCTTTTTGGGATTTGAATAGAGTAAATAAAGGTCAGACTAAAGCTCATTGGTTGGAGGGAGTTTCTATTTAAAGACTAGACATGACTAGACTCATTTGGATCAACATGTTGGAATATCTAACTGGTGCGACTCGTAGAGAATGAGGGTGGCTGGATCCTAAGGAATCTGTAAATTCTACAGATCATTCCCTCATCTCATAGCAAGGACGCTACTAGGGGAAGGCCATCGCTATTAGGTTGGAGGCCATCGCTACGTTTGTAGCTATTTGCGCTACGTCCGTAGCTTCTTGTTACAGGTGAAACGATCCCCCCGAAGCACCAGTGCTTCGATGTGTTGAAAGGATGTGTTGGTCGCCAGGGCCGTGAACCTCCGCGCTGCTCGGGCGGCGCCGCCACCGAATGCCCGGGGACGCAAGAGCGGAAGCGGTCGGTGGCGATGGAGCCGAGCGTGGGAGCGGGGTGGCGGTTGGAGTCCACAACAAAGGCATCGATGCCCTTGTTACTAATAGCGATGCCTTACTAGTAGCGATGCCCTTATTAATTATACTAGTAGGTACTGTAATTATGATTTGTCCATCCAAAGAAGTCCATGTATTTTGAAGAAGTCCCTGAAGTCTATGTACCGCATGCACGACAGTCCCTGCCGAGGCCAAGTTCTTTGGCCCTCGCTGAAGGCAGAGTTGGTACCCGATCGACCGGGGCACCCGTTGCCCATCCATGGGCGGGCACGGATTTTTGGCATTCCAATATGGCCAAGGCTTTTCCTAGGTTCGGCGGCTGTGTGGAAATTGTTTTGCTTATAGGATTATCCATTCACATCCATTTGGGTAACTGGGCAGCTCAGTCTAGAGTGTCCAAGGTGTTTGTTGGCTTTTCCCCACTTCGGACTTCGGACTCACCATTTAGATTGATAAAGAGCAAGTGCAGGCAGGTAGAAAACAGCAATGGACAGACCTGAACAATTGTAACAACGGCTCATCTCAACATTGAAAGTTAACAATGAACCGTTCTGGTGTGCTTTACTAGTGAGGGCTCCGTCCGCACTACAGTATTCTTTGTTGAGGTGTTGAGGGCGATAAAACACGCGAAGGAAAAAAAGCAACGCTTTAGGATAATATCCGATCAAATCTCGGAAGAGCTTTCAGATCCATAGAATTGCATGTCATACACTGAGTTCTATGGGTGTTTTTGTTCACTTGGCAGTTGACACATCTCAACAGGAGCCTGTTCTTCCGCACTTCCCTGGCACACCGGGATCAGCAAAGACCTCTCATTGGCCGGGCGTGAAGCTGGTCGCCAGGCAGCTTCACCTGTGAGGCCAAACCGCGAACTCCGCGAGGCTGATGGTTCATACTGCCAGGCTTCAAGACCTCCCAAGCATTGCAAGGCTCAGATGACAAGTTTGGCCTACCTGTGTCGGGGGCGGTCATGTAGTTTCGGGTGAGACCAACAACCCAAGGGTGGAGAAAAGGACCTTCTTGCATCAGCCAATACCCTCAAACTTCAATCTGCAACAGAGTATTGCCACTCAACTTTTCAGAACAGTACTGTATGCTCAACAAAACCTTTCATAATGCACGTAGCTGCCAAATGCCAAATGCAGTCCTTACCATGTCCTTCCCATCGACAATCACATAATGATGGGCGCATGAGATTTACAGTAAAAACATGCGTGTTGAGGCCTGCGTTGGAGTCCAGGACAAATGCTAGCGACATGTACAAACAGATCTGGCCCAAAGCCAATCTGCGTAGCTCAAGGCCATATGACGGCCGCAAGCTGTGGTATTCTGTGTGCAACTCTCGGCATAGACTGAATTGAATGCAGTAACTATGAGCAGAGTATGTACGAAACAAGCAAAGCTTTTTGCGGATGCTTCATTCCTTCAGGTTGAACGAGATGCACCACAGTGCCCTTCGCACGTTTCATCAAGAGCATGCCAAAGGCATGACTTGAATCAAATGTCAGACCTCGACCAAAGAGCGATGCATGTGTTGCATGATAGATTGTGCTTTTTCCTTCTCGTGAATCACATGTGGCCACAGATATGTCCATGATCCAAAACAGCACCAATTTGCGCTTGGAAGGAAGAGCGTCATGTATTTCTCGTTTGGGTGAGATGCAGTTGGTGAGCTTAAAAGATGGCAGTGAGTCAGGGCGACGCAGACGAAGTGAGTGACGACGTGTCGGATCGGGTCACAAGTGACGGGTTTCTGCAAAGACACAAGTGACCCTGGAAGTGAGGCGTTGACAGCTTTGTACAAATTTGATCAATTTTGTACCTGGTTTGCTACATTATCCATGCCGCTCACATGACTACTAGTCAGTCTGAACGCTTTTTCACGCTCCGCGGGGCTGATGGATCGAAGAGACACAGTCGTTGCAACACGGCATGACACATGATATCCAGTATGTTTAATTACTCTTGACTTGTCCCAACCACTCAATATTTGCTGCAATGCTTTTGTGAGCTTCGAGCGGTTTTCCATGTGTTTGGCAAACCTCACTGCATGACTCGTCCCTAGAAAGGCCCCTCTCTTCGAACAGCACTGTGGCATCGAAGAGCGGAGAAGAACCAACGCGATGTCGAGCAATATGAAGGCTCAAAGGAAGGTGTTCGTCGATGCGAGTACCAACAAGTGGCAGGTCCATCGCATATGAGTTCATCCTCTTAAGTTTAGTTTGCACTTCCAACACGAGTTTGGGCTGCTTAAGTGCTGCAAGTGGACGACAGCTTTGGGTTGCAAGTCGTTGACATGCCAAGAATTCGTCACTTTGCTGGACACCTGAAACATGTGTTATGGGAAACCAAGCCGAAGTGAGTCACTTCGCTCGGTATCATGACGTGGGAACTCAAGGATTGAACTGAGGTCCCAAAGAGACCTTCGTTTACACATGGGAGATCATGGGAGAATATCAGGGACAAACTCATGTGGGAAGGCGTGTTTATTGCTGGGGTCAAAGGGTCGAAAGGATTGCCGAAATGGCCTTGGTGGCAGGTGCAACAGAAGGACGAGGACGGCGAGTTTCTGCAGATGGCCGCCCTGCAGCAAAACGTGAGGCCCGACAAAAACGATCTTGGTGTCGGGTAAAGCTGCAGCTACTGAACGCTGGATTGCTGTCAAGACGGACGGGTCAAGCTAGCTTGGCACACTTAGTGTCACAACCGATCACAACCTTCGGGACCCGGGACACTTGAAAGTGGCAAGATATGCTTGCTGTTTCCATTCCACTACTGAAATGGCTCTGTTGTGGAGTCTCCCTAATTCAATACCCTTTTAGTATCTTTTAGTCATGAACAGAGAACATGGAATACCCATGGAAAACACTCCAAATTGAGAGGGCTGTGCCATCCAATGCCATCCATCTATGACCAAATGGTGTACTCTCCCAGTGGTGGCGGGCCAGGACGCTCACCAACTGCCGAATCTTTGCTGGAGCCACTTGGGAGAAGGAGCCCACCGTGTGGGAGAATCACCAGACGGCCAGACGGCCATCATAGATCATCTAGTTGAAATGGTCCGGACTGTCCTCCTTCAACAGTACTTGCACGACTACGCAAAGTCGAAGAATGTTTTAATTTGAAGCGTATCGGCCGCCACGAAGTGAAGCTCACCAACCAAAACACTTGAAGGGTGAAGCTGCTTGTGGATGGGTGCCATGTTTGTTTTCCAATGACCAGGCCTATTCAGTTGATCAACTGCCTGAGGCAGGAGACCCCCACCATGCCCCACTCAGTCGGGCGATCGAGGTCATGGCTGGCTGCATTGCTGGCCTTCTGAAGATTGAGGGGCTACTAGGACAGATGGGCAGTTGAGGGGACACTGGTAGACATTGGCACTGTTTTCAGATGTTTGAAAAAAATCATTGGCTGTTGGAAAGCTTATTCACTAATAATAAGTAGCCAATCTAAATGGTTTTGAATGGATCTCAGATAGGTCAGCGCGCTGTTGGGTCCCTTGCCGGTGGAATCAAGTAGATGAAGTCAATCATGTTCCTAGTCGAAGGCCTTACTATCGTAGTTCAATAATGTTCAAGACCTATAATGTTTAGTGCAGGGGAGGGAATCGACCGCGCAGTGGGCTGCAAATGCCTTCTTATTGCTGTTATTTCTGTTGTAGCTTCAGTGTTGTCATGAGACCATGCTGACATGGTAGTGGTGGTACCACTCCAACAATACACTGGACACAGTACTGCACCATCCGTGTGGAGGATCTGCAATGATCCGCATTTTTGAATCGGGGGGATCCTGTGATCCTGTTTGATTTGTCCACAAATCCATGCCACCCGAACACCCTGGTTGATCAAACAGGACCAGTTCCCTCAAGTTTCCACCGGTGCGGTGTTCATCGCTTCTCACCGGGTCGGAGAGACCGTCGCAGCAGACCGTCGCGCTTGGAGAGCGGTCGCTCATCCAGCTCAACAGCTCATCCAGCAGTCCCGAACGGTCGGTTCACCGACGGTTTCGCCAACCTGACTGTGAGGAGTTGGTGTGTTCATTCTGGTGACCTTGATCCATTCCCTGATGATCGCAGCGAAGATGGAATTCGAAGTGCACAGGTGGGACAACCTTCTTTTGTGCAGCTTTGCTTGGCTTGGCTTTGACCCAGGTGACGGAAGGTGGTTTGCTTGGTTCATTCTGCCATGGTCAGGATTGATTTGGTTTCTCGGACACTTGCTACCTGTCCTTTGATGCACTGTCTTTTCATATATGACTTTTGTAAGACGCCGCAAGCAAAGCGTATCCGAAGCGAACACTTTTGTTGCGGGCTGAAGGGAGAAAGAAGGAACACTTGCACACCTTGAGGCACTTTCCCAAGAGCCGAGACCTCTTTGTGAGTCAGCTTTGCCCTCAGTCTGCTGTGACGTTAGGTTTGTGTTGGCTCTCCTGTTCGTTCCACTGATGTCCACCATGTGTACTTTTTCAGGTCCACGGCGAAACGCGGGGAAACGCGAACGGTTCGGACGGGTTGATGGTTGATGTAGACGGGTCCACCGGTCGGTGTTTCTTGAGGTTTGGTGGAGGGCTGCTGTCATTCATCCTCTTCTGGACCTTGTCCTTTGAAGCTTGGTCAGCCGAAAAGAGTGGCTGGCCAGTCGACAAAAAGGGACGGAAGGACCAGAACTGGCCCGGATATATAACATCATATACATTATATATGTATATGTGACACACACACACACACATGTGTCTGTGTGTGTGTGTGTCTGACTTACTGTTATACTATATAAATATAATATATATATATATATATTCTACTCGGAAATTAATTATATAATGTATGCTGTTGGTTTTTGTTTGTTCATAGCGTCATGTAAAGACTGCTGCGTGACTGGTGGGAGAGACATTGTATGCTCGATGTTTGGAGGGCTCAGGTTGGTAGCAGATGATGTGGATTGACGCCGACACCCATTGTAGTTTCTAAGATGTTCTAAGTGTGTTTTTTGTTTAGATTCTGCATGTCATTTTATGCTATATTTTGCTTCATGTTTCTGGTCGCATCATTCAACGTCCTGGACAAGTCTCCTGTCAAATGAGTCATGTCATATAGTTGGCAAATATGTGTGTGTGGTCAAGGTTCACATTCATCAGCAACTCAGTACATTTCTTGGTGTTTGCATTCCACATGAAGAACCTGAATCCCAAGGATATGGTCCATATCTTCTGACCGCCTGGCCGCTACTTCGTGCGGTCAATGACGACCATCCAAGCAACGAGAGTTCACTCCGGTGGATTGTCAGATATGACAGAGCGTGATACGAAAGCAGCAATCAGTCAAAAAGGACAAACCGTAGACTCTGTAGACAGACGGTTCACTGTCTTTACTTTGGTTGAGATGTTGGAACAACATGCAGAGATGAGACATGCCATGCAGGGTTAGCACACTGCAGAGAGGAAGCGGAAAAGGCTTTGCTGGCCCGGAAGACCTGTTCATACCCTTCATTCATGTGATCAAGCTGCGGGCAGCTATATCTCTGAACCTCCATGCGAACATGGTGAAACCCACGAGCATCAGAGACTATGACTATGACTATGACATGTTCACTTCCCAGGGATTTAGTCTCACATAATACTAACAACACTTCTTGCACTTAAAGCTCCTTGTGAAGATCAGGAAATCATGGATCCTTTAGCCCAGGCTTAGTCCGCGATGCCAGGAATCATGAGCCGTGGTCCTTCACGTACTGCACTGAGTGAATGGCAAGTCCAGGGCGAGATTGCTCATGTCTTGATGCCGCTGGCCGCGTTTTTTGGCCTAAAAAGTGGGACCAGACCAACGCTGGCCTTCAGCCTTTCAATTTTGCCGGGCACCTGGATGGGGGACGTGATGGGATGTGGCATGCTGGTGGGATTTGCTGGGCTAGTGCCTCCACAAGGCCTTGGACAAGACAGCAAAAAATGCAGGTTTTAGAGTTTAGCTTCAGACCAGCTGGGAATATAGAGGAATAGCCTCCCAGATCTATTGAAAGATATTGAAAGCAATCACTGCAGAAGTCCACAGGTCTGTTTTTGACCTCTGGGGATGCCCTTCCTTTGCCACCCAGGCAATGGCCATGCTTCCCATGCGCTGGGCCGTGTGAGCCTCGGATTTGTCACGACCATCGGTGGCCTTTGATTACACCTGAACGCTTGCATAAGGAATCTACTAACAATGGCCTCCAACCTAATAGCTTCCAACCTGATAGGAATGGCCTCCACCCTAGTAGCGATGGTCTCCAACCCGTTTTTTCATGCTCTCTCATCCCTCTGGGTGCACCCAGCATAGCTGGAGTTGTATGCGCTGTAGCCCAACAGAACTGCTACACGTGCAAAAGCACACCATATGCATAAAGGCAAACTCACAAGTATACTTCAGTTAAGTCTCCTGGTCTTTGTGGAAGATCGTTTGGATGCTACATTTCCGTGGAGCACCGCATGTGAAAAAACAGATTAACAAGATACTATTTGCATCCATTTTCTGGATTGCATCAAGAACAGCACTCGTAGGCTTGTTTGGAGAATCAAGAACAGAACCAGCCCTTGAACATGCGGCGGGGGACTTACCCCGGGTGCCTGGTAGTTGGTGTTCATCCCCGTGGCGGAAATACGGCTGCACCTCAATGAAGTGTGTCAAGCAGAGAACTCAAGCAAGCGCCCATGACCACGGGGGATTGCAGCGTTTAAAACGGCGATCCAAAGGTTCAGCTCCTCGGAAACGCGAAGCCAATGCGCTAGTAGGAACAAGGGCATCGCTACTAGGGGCTCCTGGCCTTACTACTAGGAGCGATCGGACGCGACGAACGGGGCTCCTGGCATCGCTACGGACGTAACAAGAAGCTAGCAGGAACATGCCAAAAGAAGGCGATCCCAAGAGCCTAGTGGCGTTGCGACAACTTTCCTCAAGCCTGGCGTTGCAACAAAGCCGGGACAATCGGGACAACCACAGCAGCATTGTTTGAGTCAAAGCATTGATGGAATTGAATATTCAATCTACACTGTAACAGCTTGGAAGTTTTGTGCTGCATTGCTGCATCACTGGTGATTGTGTTGCAGTTATTTTTTTGGCACATGTTCATAATTCACATATGGCAAACAAACATGCTGTAGCATTTCTGGTATCAGGCTATACTAGACAGCTGTTGGTTGATTCTTCCAAGTCAGGCTTGAACTACAGCCTTTTTCTTGGAGCTTTTGAATTCGGAACTGTGCTTGAAACAAAGCAAATGGGAGAAGGATATTGGAACAAATGGTGGGAAGCCGAATGGGCAGAGGAGAGAAATGAAGCTCTGCAGGAAATGGACGAGGAAAGGAAGCCCAATTGGAACAAAAGGGAAACGGGAGAAAAAGGTGAAGGGACAGGATGGGTGAATTGGGAATGGACTAAGAGGTGGGAGTCCCGGTGGGAGTTCCATGATGAACGTGGTTCTTCCCACTATAGATACGATGACGCGTGGGAAGAACACTGGCCATCTTCATCCTGGAATGAAAACAGGCATGGAGAAAGGCCCAAAGAAGAACCTTGGAAAGATGTTGTGCCAAAAGGACGGGATTCAAGGCAAGGTGCCAGAGGGCTTCGCAGCAGACTGGCCAGGAAAGAGAGGAGGGCTGGGATTCAAAGAAAACCCGATTGGGAGAAGAAAGACCAAGGCCCAATGAAAGTTGGTTCGCGCAAGTGGCTCAAAACCCTGTGCCCCGCAGGCCAAAAGCAGCTTTGACAAAGGGTAGCACACTTTTTAGGGTAAACGAGAGGCAGCAGGTTTGAAATACAGCCTGTGCATTGGCATATGCTTGAAACAAAACGTGTGTGGAATGGATGTAATTTTGACCTGTGCATTTGCTGCAAACGATGCTTGTGTTTTGAGCTCTCCACCATCGACTAGTGCATGCTTTTCGCACCACACGTTGCTGCCATCTCCGGCCTAAGGCAGCAACCGCTCCTGGGCGGAGGCACTTTGCGGCGGAGGCGCCTAAGGCGAGCGGGTGGAGGCTGGTCGAGCCTGACCTTGCATAAATTCATGGAGGTTCATGAGGGCTTTCCTCATCTTCAGGTCCCTTTTGGTCCACGGGGGTGAATTGCCATCAGTTCTTCCTGTAGAAATCTGTCGTAAAATCATCGTTTCTTTAGGTAAAACCTGTGCGACTTGGAGGTTTTCTGGACGACATGTGTCTTGCAGCGAGTCAGCGGCGGTCAACAAAGGTCGTCAGGCATAATTTTCCGAGCACGGGGCACCTTTAGAGTTGCCTTGGTTTTGCTTTCGAACCTCCCAAGTGGATTTGTTCTTCAGAAGTGCAGTGGTTTAGTATGGTTTAGTCTCACCGCTCATCGGTGAGACTTGTTGCATGCTGTCTTGTATGCTGTTTCCATCCATGCGTCGAGGTGACCAACAAGGTCTTTTTCGACATGTCCATTGGCTCTGAGAAGGCGCGCGAGAGAGAGAGCTCGTTGCGGAGTTTGTTACAGAACTTCTGTGGATGGCCGGAACTGTGGATTGCCGCGTGTCATTTTGAGCTGACAACACCGAAAGCACCCTGTTTCCGAAGGAAAGTAGCCTTCCAAGAAGTCATCCTCCACTTCCGTGCTGTTTTTGAATGTGCCTGCATCTACTTTAGCGACAAGCATAGGAAGAGCAAGTCCCTTATCTTTTTGATGGTAGATCATTCCGTCTGAGAAAGTCTGAATCACATCAACTGGAATTCTAGGAATGGTGATACAAGAGAGAGAGAGAGATCACGAGGTCCTTTTGCAGAATTTTGGTCATTGGTCATCAACCCGACATGGTTTGCCCACCATCTAGGCCGGCCGAATTGTCATGGGCCTTTACGGAGAGACGGTGCCGAAGACCGCGGAGAACTTCCGTGCGTGGCGACGCCCAGTGGGCCGCGCCACCCGAGTTTCGGGCGGATTTCTGGAGACTCAATGCATCGGTAGATGGCTTGGATTTTTGTGGTTCTTGGAGACATCCCAGAGACCCCAAGAGAAAAGATCGTCCAAAGGATACTGTAGATTGATTATATATAGATATACTGGTCTGGTCTCCCGTGGCAATAACTCACAGCCAGGCTGGAAACATGGAGGGGCAAATAGATTGTGGGGTTGTGGACGATTGGATGTGAGCAACTACTTTTATTCATTCTTTACAGCATTACTATTTGTTTGTCCAGCATCAGTATTCACTGGTGAACGAGACAGAATGAGATAGGGCTCCAACATAAACGAGATACTTCTTTTGATGAGACTAAAGTAGTCTGAACAAGATATATACTGTGGTTTGCTACTCTAGTAGTCTGAACAAGATACTGTGACATGACCTCCTACTTATATAAGTAGTCTAAACGAGATAGGACCCCCACATAGTATTTGAGTTTAGTAATGAATAACTGCTGCCGCTCATATTCCCAGCACACAGCAGGACCGCAGTATACCATAGTATACCTAACTCATAGAGGCAAAAGCCAATGGATGTGAACGGTCGATGGACGGGTAGTTCCGTTCCGAACGGCGGTCGAGGAAAACACCGTGAGGATCCGTGAGGCATACAGTATCTTAAACCATTTTAAACTTTAAACCCTCCAATTCTCGGATGTGGACCTGCAGGGTTCCGTTCCTTTTGGTATTACAGCATATATTCCGAGTAAGATGGCACAGACCCTGAACACGTGTGTTCTATGGCACGAGCTGGTTGGAAGCGAACGTTGGTGTGACTTGAGATGAGCGTAGTCGTACGTACGGACTGAGGCTTTGCACCGGTGAGAAGGGATTCGGCTTCAAGGGCTCCAAGTTCCACAGGTGGGCGCCGTACGCGGTGCGTACGGCTGGGCGTTTCACATGTGGGGAGAAAGACCATGCATGAGGTCACGTGTGTGTTTGTGTACAAGTAACAATATTACACATATTAATACGATTATCTCTATAATGTATATTATACGTATAGGCTTCACAGCTTCTACTAAGATACGTTGTATGTGTATAAGTAAGTATAGGTCAGCATGGGTAAATTAGGGACATTCAGAGATTCACTAACAGTATTTGGTGGAGTTGTTTCCTTCGAAGCTGTCTAGTGCGGGGGCACCACTTGCTAAGCATGCTCGACCCTTATTCCGACCTGTCTGACCTATCCATTGCCACACCCACGCGGGGTCCATTCCTGTATCACAATCAAGAAGTGCTCAATTCTGAGGAGAGACGTGCCCTAAATCCTGGAGCCAAGTTATGTAATAAACACCGTACCCCGCCTACTCATGGATCTATGTTCCGTATCTAGTATGAGTATACAAATGAGTCATATGAGTACTATATGAACCTGAGGCCTCCAAATCTATTTTAAGCGCGTCAGCCACTGGCGATGCCAGCATGTCTTTCTGTGCCTTCTCCGCAGCTCACCGGATCAGAGCCAGCATGTCCTCAAGCCGGTCCAGCAGGTCCAGCAGGTCCAATCGGCAGCGTGGCTTGGAGGTGTCACCCCTGTGGCTTCTCCAAAAGGCCAAGAACCACACCGGCTACGGCGGCACGGCAGCAAACCGTGGCCGTGTGTTCATGCGCCATGACAACTGCTTTGGACGGGCAAGACTATACAGAGGGTTGAAGAGGGCCGAAGGTTCATGAAGTAGGTGCTGTTGTTTTTTTTCAATGTTTTTCTCGGTGCATGTATACTGACAGCTGTTGATTTTTTGATCTGGGGACCTCGTCATGTTTTATACACAATGCAATCACACGTTGAATTCCATTTAGCCTTTGCCTCGCCTGTTCAGGTTGGGATGGCCGTGTGAACCCTTCAGAAGTGCAGAGCTCTGCTGTGTCCGGGGACACCCCAGACTGGTTCATAGGCCTGACCGGGATGGGCCGGGTGTCATCGCTCTAAGCACTTTTCTACCGGAAGACGGCAGAAAGCCCGAGGCCGAAGTGTTCCAGACATCGATGGCCTGGGGGCCGACCGGGGGACTCCAAAGGGTCGTCCGGGGGTTGACCATGTATTTAACCCCGCATCCGCGACTTGCAAAGGTGTGGTTTTGTTGGGAAGACCTCAGGGAAATCACAAAAACACATAGGTCCGGTCCATCTCTCTCTATATTACTATGTTTTATTAGTGAAGCCGTGAAGCCATTGGATAATCATTGGATCTTCTTTGGAGAGCTATCAATTAGTAGGGACACCTCGCTGCACCCAAGACTTTGGTGATCCTTGCATTTCTTGCCCACGGTCTCATGGCTCACACCTCCTTGAACTTGTGTTCCAAACCTTGGTTTGAACACACAGGGACTCCATCAAATGAGTTTGCCATCGACCTGCATTCCATGTATTTAACTTGGGATCTCCTTGCGAGAAGCAAGTTGGTGGATGTTCTTTCAATATTGGAAGTCGATGCGTTGCTGTCTTCTGGTCTCATGAAGATCCCTCGAGTGATGACATTGCCCTGCCGACTTGCGAACTCGTCGAATTGAACCGCGCCCTTTTTGACGACCAGGCCCCAGGACGTTTGAAGGGCCTTTCCATTGCAAGTCGGTGCCGGTGAGAAGGTGTCCGGATGTGAAGTGCCTGCCCACTGGTGAGCTGGTCTACACCACGAAGACCTTTCATCAAGGACACTTCCTGGATATCTCGGAGGTGCATCGCAGCTACGACGGCAAGGGTCGGATGCCTGGAAGGAATGGATTTGAGCGGATCCAGATGTTTGAACCATATAAAATATGCCGGGAATCTCCTTAGAGTGCATCTATTGAGGAATGGTCTTTTTGAGATTTTGTGTATTTTATGATTGTGTTGTTCCTCTTTGTAATATGTCCACCAGGGTTTTGAGCATATCCAAGGATGCTGGGGGAGCCGAAGAGAGTCACTCTGGCTGGCTCCTCCCCTCCGCAGATGCTGCTTCAGTACCCCGAAATGAAGACACCGCCGTGGTTGGAAAAGGCGAACACCAATCCAGTGACTCGGCACCAACGCCCTCGTTCTGCAAAAAGTACCGCTTTAAACGATCAAATTGATTGAACTGGTTTCTGGAGTGTCTAAGCCGCAACAACAAGAAATGAGATACCGGGCCGATCGTGGATCAACAAATACACGGAGCATATTTGGTCGCTAGGGCTCAAGGAGAATTTATTCCATAATGTCCTCAAATGGGATTGAAACAACTAGTGAACCAGTGGAATATACTGATTTGGAGGCTGATCTGGAGCCTTTGATTGTTGTGGGTGTCAGCAGAAATATTTGAGCGGTTTTCGGGTGATAGCAAATATCCAGTGAACGCTCACACATCGATTCACTTGTCATCTTGTAGGCCAAGACCAATCACTTGGCGCACGGCGGATGCTCAGTGATCAATGATAGCTTAGGTAGTAGCTCGAGGGGGAAGATCTAGAGCAAAGTACCTCTGGCAGAGTGCTCTGCAAAAGGGGCTTAAGATGCTCGACCCGTTCTACAGTATATAATTACGCAGCACGACGAATGTTCAGCTGTTTTTGGGTGGATGATCTACGATGTACTTTTTGCAACGCACCAAATCTGGAACCCCCTGCGAATGTGTCAGGTCCTGGTAAGAGGATACTGGCAATTCGGCCTCTGGAATTCATGTGCCTTCTGCGAATTGTGCGGGCAATATGCGAGCAGGATTGGCAAAATCCCACCTTGCAGAGCGATACCGGGTAGGACAAAGCGCCGTCCTGAAAAAGATACGTGTTTAGGGTGACTTGCGGTTGCAATATACATAAAGCCACGCATGTTACATCCTCAAAGCAACGCATTTCTTGAATATAGACATAGAGAAAATGTGTTGCCAACTTCTTGCTGATTTCACGGTTGATAGTTGAGGGATTCTCCTCACGAGCAAGGTCTTGTTGTTAGTCGTTGGTGACCTTTCTTCAATGCAAGGCCAGTTTGAGTGCTCGATACTCTTTACTTCTGGAATGATTTCCCTGCTGGGGTGATCTAGTGAAAAGAAAAAGCACTTCGTGCCCGAAACGTTCTAACTTATGCAGCTGTGCCAGGGTGATCAAGAACTTCATGATCCAAGGACCCCCGTGTCACCCAGTTGGGTCAGCGTGGCCTGGACAGGGTTACTGGGGTTCCAAAATGGAGCACCAGCTTGCAACAGATTTCATGGGCCACACAAGACTTCAAAGCGCCAATAAATGGTAGCCTGGTAGCCATGTAGTGGCCCCTGTTGGTTTCGTCCACTGAGTGTTTGTGTCATTCTGGAAGGCTGTATTTTGACGTATTTTCCAGAGGTTTGAATTCTTCCATGTCCATAAGACCAATGTCCTAATGTCTCAATCCAAAGTGTTATGGAATCGGTCTCATCATATTTGGCCACGACATGCCACGACTATACTTCCTCCCAAAATGCAAGCACCCTGGAGGCAACCACCCTTTCGAGACAAATCCAAACCCTCGGGTTTTCTCTTCTTGGCTTCCTGGCACTTGGCAGCTTTGAAGCTTTTTTTAGCGGCTCCCATCATCCCGCTGCTTCGAAGGAGGTGATTTCACCCGAGGGAATGGCACCGGTGCCTTGGCCGAAACATGGAACGGGACAAGCCAGTCGAATTGTGTGGATCAACATGTCTTGACGGTTTCTGGTTGAGTCATGAGAACTTATGTAAAACTTTGGGCTGACTTGCAAGTTGAGTCGTTGACTCAAGTATATATATATATATATGTGACACCAGGTGGGAAGTCCATCTATGGTCAAAAGTTCCCGGATGAGAACTTCAAGTTGAAGCACACCGGGCCTGGAGTTTTGTCCATGGCCAATGCGGGCCCGAACACGATGCTTGGCTGTGTTGGGATGTCCTGGAGATTCCTGGAGTGTCATCATTTGTGCCTTCCGGTTTGAGCAGATGAAGTGTCAACTGCGTTTGGGATTGTTTGTGCTTTTCTATGGCCAGCATGTTGACGAGAGGATTCCTATAGAGTTTCGAATCCTTCTGGCTATCTCAGCCATGTTCCATGGTGGAATCCGTGTTCAATTTTCTTCCGTATTCTGATGTTGCCGATGTTGCCGACGTTCTTTCATGGCACGGTGTGATTTGTTGTGAGGAACGGCAGCCAGTTCTTTATTTGCACCGTGCCGACTCCGCATTTGGATGGCAAGCACGTGGTGTTTGGAAGCGTCGTAGAAGGCAGGGGATACCAAACGGATGCAGCTTGAGCTGGCGAGTCAAACGAGATGGGAAAAGGACTGATGGCAATAGCGTGAAGGGTCTTTTCATCCAAACCCTATTCGACCATGTTTCGGGATGCTTGATGATGCTTTGTTTTGGTTGTTGTCAGTTGTAGTAACAATAAGGTTATAATATAACAATTTGAATTTAGTAGATCTTAATCGAATTCAGCCTTCAATAGGCCCCAGGCGATGGAACTCAAATTCTCTCGGGCCGAACGAGAGTTTCTCGCGAGGCATGGAGGTGGTGAAGAAGATCGAAGCACAGGACAGCACTCCGCCAAAGAAGCCCTGTGTCATCGAGGCGCGCCGGGCCACTGTGGTGATTTTGCTTTTCTTGGGGTGGGTGGGTCGCATGTCACGAAAGCTAGCTTCAGCTACCTGATTTCTCCTTCCTTAAGCAAACATGTATTACATAGGGGGGCCCCCCTCCCCCTGGATCAAATCCCCCCTGCGCCGTCGCGGTTTGGGTGCAAATCTTGTCGCGGTGTGGGTAAATCTTGTCTGTGCAGAGCAACAGCAAATAAGGAGTAACACACGAGCAGCGCAAGCGCGCAGTGAACAAGCAGTAGGAGAAAGGAAACCGTAATAAGCGCAAACGCCTCTTACTGTATATTTCAACTTTCAACCAGTGCTGCAAGTTGGAACTAAACAATGTGCATGTGCCGGCTCCTTGCGTGTAGAATCGAGGGGAGGCCGGTAGCTTCCGCCGAACACAGTCGCCTCAAGAATGTGATATCAGGGACGAATGTCAGAATGTCATTGTATATACTTAGCAGGATCACGCGCAATGTCTGAGTCTAATTCAATCATAAGCGCTCGTGCCTCTCGAGACTTGGACTCACCCCTTGCGATCCTCTCTCCTTTCCCCTCCCTCCCATTTGCTACCTCTCAAGCCTTGATGGGCACACTCCCTGATCCTGCACCGCACAGAGACGATGTTTGCAGATTTTACTTTAGATGGCTGCAAGGGGAATGGGAAGAGGGTAGGGGTGTTTTGTGGCCTGGCGGCCTGAGTGTTTCATTATATATGTTGTGTTTGATCAAGAGCATGCTGCAGCTTTTGGACCCCACTGGCCTGGTCCTCGTGCTCGTTCACGTTGCAGGAGTGCGGCGAGCTGTCCGAGTGACCCGATTGTTGGGCGAAAAAAGAAGCAAGGACGACGGCAGAAGAGGTCGAAACCACGCAGCCTGACATGGACGGAGGAGAGGTTGAAGGCATACTTGGCGCTTGCTTTCTTCAGGCTGCTTGCTGCTTCCAATCAAAGCACGATGCTCCAGGAAATTGATCATGGAATCATGGTGGCCAGCAAGTATCCCACCCAACACGTCCAGGCCCCAAAAAATGTATGTTGTTTCCTATTGCTTCCTGAACGGGTACAGACAGATTTGATGTCAAGGTTTGCGATTTACCTCTCCAATATCTATTTGATATTGAACCAATACATTGGACATGTTTTCTACTACATCACCTCGATACCTACCAGACTGAAAGAACATCCGCAAGAAGATCAAGACGTCATCAACATGTTCATCATGTTGCAATGGACTCCAAATGGACAAGCGAGACCTCATCTTTGGTTGTTGCCCTTTAGATTTGTTTCATGCCTTTGAGATAAACAAAACCTTGCTTAGCAGGCCTCAGTCTTTTAATCAAACTGAAAAAACAACAAGATAATGAAAAAACCCAAGAGAAAAAGGACATGACATGCCCCCAGTGGATTGCCACGAGCGTGGTTTGCTCCATCTTCGCCGCCATGGGATCCAGCAAGTTGCCAAAACTGCAGCTACCAAAGGCAAGTTTGGAACACAAGTCTTTCGGTTCGGTGTTCTATCCCATTAAGCATCTTTAGTTTTCCAGGTACCTGCCTGGTCTATCCTTATCTATCCTTTGTAGAACATACAAACATACACATGGCATGCGAGGGCGCTTCTTTTCCCCTTGGCCAAGTGTTGATGGAGACTTCGTGCCTAGAAGGCCATGCATTGCTGCAAACCATATACATTACTAAGTTGAGATGAATCCCCAAAAAGAACGAGACAACTCTTGATACAGCAAGCCGGCCCAAATTCAAGCACCTTTTCGTTTGAACATGATTGACGGACGGGCATGTTGTTTCTACATAGGCTCCAACAAGGTGGCAAAGAAAAGGACATCCAAACGACCAGGGTTGAGGCTTGGGTTTACTGGGGCCGGGTTTTCGTGAAATTTCGGCTGTTGAAGGGTTGGTGACCTGACCATCATTCATTTTCTCAATATCAAGGCTGAAGAGAGGTTGAATTCTGGAAGCCCTTGTGCAATTTCACTTGGGAAGGGTGCCGCCAGGATGAGGTTGCGCAGAGACGCATTGCGGAGGCCCACACGAGTGGATGGTGCTTTTTGTTTGGGTGTGTGACACGGTGTCTTTCTAAGATGGATCATGGCAGAACCTTGGAAAGTAATCCAAGCACTGCACAGGTAGACATGGCTCGGAGCGGCCGGGGATCAGTCAGTATATCTATAATACTAAAGCCCGCCTGACAGGGATGCTCATGTTTGTTCAGATGTTCTTCAACAATGACTACGAGCCTATGACCAGAGAAATCCTTGCAAGAAGTCTTCCAGGATGGGTCTAAAAACCTTTTGACTGCGGAATTGGGGACGTCATGGAATTGGATGTTTCCCCGCCCGTGTGAGGTCGGTACAGTGACCCGGTGTACACCCAGGGGTTCGGTACACCGAACTATCGGTCTAGACGTTGGGGTGATCGAGTCGATTGTGATGTCGGTGTTGAAGTGCCCGGTCACTGTGACGTTCAGCACCTTGGGCCTTGGGTCAGAGTCATAGAAGGTCAACCCAGTGGCCCAAAGCACCTTGGATGTGTCACCTCGCCGGAGAGCTGGCGGGGCTCCCGAGGCCTCGGAGCTGGCGCGGGCGGGAGAGCTGAAAGCTGGACAACAGCGCTTGAAGGAGGCGACGGGATGCGGATCGGTTTCGGAAGTGCGGCTTCGGAACGACCCGGATTTGATGCGCGGAGAAGGGGAAAAACCCTGGAGGTTTGGCTTCAGAAGGGCACTTGCTTGTTGTCACTGCGGAATCGGTGCCCAGAAGTGGATCCAGCAGTGTGAACTCAATCTTCACTGTAACCCTGGAATCACTCCGCCAGGCAGTGTCTGAGGGCTTGTTCCCGGCACCGCTGCAAAGACAGGCTTGGGGGAAATTATGGAGTTCTTGTTTGCAGCTTCGCAGCTCTTGACGCTTTGCACTTTTTGTGGGCTCTTCTGGGGCTTATTGCTGAAGCGCATGAAGGAATTCGTATGGAATTGGTCATGAGCAATTGGCAGGTCCTTGCATGGTGGTCAGCGGGTGAGTCTGGAACTCGGTTGCCAGAGTTGCGAATTCCTCGCTTTGAGAGTCGGCGTTTGGTGAGACACTTGGTCACGACATGCAAGTGGAATCGGATCAGCCAATGGCTGAGGGACATAGTTTGCAATGCGATTCAGGGATTCGTTCGTCGTTGGTGGAACCCCGGTGGCGGAGTGGTATTTGCCTGAGTGTGAGGACTTGACGCAGGTGTCCGTCAATGACGACGCTACAGCCTCCTTGACGACATTCCTCAACCGCGAGTCCACTTTGGAATCCCTTTTAGATTTGATGGAAATATTAAAAAGCATTTTCACAGGAGTATGTATACCCTGTGATTATGATCCGTCATGGGAAGATCACATTAGTGACATTAGTGATATTTTGAGAGGGCTTTCAGGCATCCTTTGAAAGCTCCAATGACATCCAATGACCGGGGTCTCGCAAAAAGGTGCACAGCACAGTCTTACTTGCAGGCTCAAATCCTTGGATAATTGTGTCTTGTGTCTCTTGGCTGTTGCAACCCACTCCTTTCGCCGTTTCATTTCCGTGTGCGAAGCGTCCAGGTTCGACCTGCTGGCTTCTAAGGAGCTCGGTCTGCGCGCCAAGACGCGGCTTTAGGCTTTGCTTCACCAATGGTTTGGGCATGTTATGGCTGGCGTATCATTGACATAATATATATATATATTATATATATATATAGTGTACTTTGTTAGGTCAAATACAGGGTGTAACAGATCACCCAGGGGAGCAATGAATTCCAGGGACCATAAAGAAAATTTGCCATTTGATGTCATTTCGTTGGTTTTTCGTTTTGGCCGTTGATAAAAGTTGCTAACTTCCTTCTCTTTACTGTACTTCTTGCTTCTTCGACTCAACCGCAGGAGGTGAGCGAAGCAAAGGTGGCAAAGGCCCCGGTGGACGACTTAGAGGCGCAACGAAGTGTGGAGTGGGACGGGGAAGACTGGAAGTTCGGTGAACAGTGACCCATTACTAGCTTAAGTAAGGCGAGGGGGAGGTAAAGTGGCTTAAGTAAGCCATAGCCATATACTAGCTACTGGACTAGCTACTGGACGCAGGATAGCTTACGCTGGAAGCAGGGCGATGCGAACCATTCCGAGTGGGTCAGACCACCTCTATTGTGGACACTCTTTGCCTGACTGACACATTTTGGGAGGCACCTCACTGCCGGACTATCCCTCACCACCGCAACTTTGGCTTCCCCTGGTGGGTTCAGAGGGTCTGGACGAGCTTAGAGATATTTGAGCTAAGAACTTCCTACCAGGTTTGATTAGCGACATTTTTAGGGGAGTTTTCGCTGAGTGCTTGCACGTGTTGTATTTGCCTAATTTTGATTAATTTTGTATAGATACTGTTAGCTGCTGCATATTGGTTCTTGGCTGAAGAAGCAAGAAGGAGAAAGAGTTTTGAAATGTCTTGGATGTGTTTAATGTGTGTTTTTTTTTAAGAGTATGTTATAGTGTACCAAGGCATGTCACATGTCCACAATGTCAGAATGTCCTGATTCTGTCATGGTTCAGTCGAAGGTCTTGCCGTGGCTGGGGGCATTTGTTTGTGCTAGGCGCAGGTGGTACGTATCATGAAGGAGAGGGGCTGGTCGCGGAAGGAGGCGCATTTTTTGGCCGACAGCTCATGACAGCTCGAGGATGCAGTTTTCAGGATGAAGCAAAGATTTGCCGTTAATTCGATGAATTCAAAAGATTGCTTTTTGCTGGCTGGTTGAAGTATTTTGTTAAATCAAAAGAGAGTGGTCCTCAAACAGATAGAACTATAGAACTGTGTCCAATTGTTTCCAACACACGTTTACAGAGTATGTATCAATTTCATGTTTGTGGGTTTGGTCATTCCGGTTTGTGGCCATACGTAGTCCAGTGGTACTTCTTTTGGCATGTCCAACCTGAGCCTTCCCTCGCAGTAAATGCCCACTGGGCACTTGGCGTGGACTCGTGGGACTGGTCAAGTTTTCACCAACCGGTTGCTTCAACCACCAGATGTGGCTTTGACCAACCGGACCATGCCGGGCTTTGTGTGAGATTTGAAGCTTGCAAACGAGTGGATACCCACACCCTCGACACCTCTCACCTACTCTGCTTTTTTGGGTTTTAGTGACTATAATTGGGACCGGGCCAGCTGCCCCTGAAATGTTATGTGAATTAATCTATTGGGACTAGGCCTGCCAATTCATCGATGAGGGTGGCCTTGACATGGAGGCCATGCAGGCGCCGAGACGCTGTCGACGGCCTGTCGGGCGATTTGTTCGGATTCGGCCGGGGAATGTCTGCACCCTGAGAGCCATGGTACTTCGAATTCAAAGAACAATCGCCTTTGGAAACAATCGACACAAGGTGCTTCCGGTTAGGCGATGAGTTAAAATATAGAGACTCCATGGGTCCAGCGAGTTGATCCAGTTTGGAACAAAAAGTAAGGTTTGGTGAAGCTACAGTGTTTCTAGTAGTTTCGTGGAAGAAGTGCCGGTTCAAGAGAATGTGTCGTTTCAAACCTCGTTTGTTTTCAACACAAGCACTCAAAGCTGTTGTAAATATGTTGTGCCGTTTGAGCGCTCTTTTGTGCCGCGTCGCGAGGGGCAGGTCGCTTGAACATTTTTGTTTGTCACCATTTTTGGAAAAAACTCGAACACATAGAAACAACTAAAAAGTGACGTTTCGTGACAAAGAAAAAACATCTTATTGTGAAAGCAACAATATACGTAGGAAGATGCAGGATGCATGATGACATATGTATATAATTCGTATAAACTGTGCCAAGTTCTGAACGCGCTTTATCAAAGAACGATTTCCATGTTCAGAATCCTTCAAGAATGCGTTCATGTCACAATGCGTTCATGTGACTATTTCTAGCACTATGCGTCCTATTAATGTATGTTATTGATGATTGCATATTGCATCTATGGAGACGTGGAGAGGCTACAGGTTTAAGATGGATTGAGAAGATGCCGATTCCGGGGCTGGCAGCTGTATGCAGCTTTTGCTTCTTTGTTTTGTTGCACTATCTTATTCCCAGGGTCTTGTTCTTGTACCCTGTGTCTATTTGCAATTCAAACATTGGTAGCCCCCCCATGTTTCCCCTTCAAACGTTAAGCCCAATTGAATCTGTTATCGTCATCGTGGTTATTGTAGCTTGTTTGTTGTGTTCTTTGTTTCTTTGTTTGCTTGCTTGCTTGTGTGTTTTTTTTGCCTTTGCAGGGGTTCATCAGCATTGTGTGTGCTGCTTTGCGTCGTGCTTTGGCTTCCAAAACCTGTGCGCTGCATCGTGCTGCAGGCATTTGGTTTCTCGGTTGACCCTCTTTTCCTTTCCTATAGCATCCTATAGCTATGGCACCTTGCAACTCCATGTTGGCGGCCGCTGGCCTTGCTGCTGGGGGCTATGTGGCCACGCAGGCCTTTGTCCCAAGCGCTTCTGGACCTGTGGTGAACCACGAGGCAGTGCAAAGCCTTCGTGGCACATCAGCTACACAGGCTACACCATCCAAGGGATTTGGCAGGGCTTTGCCGTTGATGGGCCTTGTCGGGGTCGGAGCTGTTGCTGCTGGACGTGGAAGTGTTGCACGCCGTGCGGAACCTGCAACCGCAGCAGCCGCTGCAGCAGCTGCTGCCAAGGCAGCCGCAGCGGCTAAGGGAGTGACCGCCACAACATCGGCTGTGGCAGGTTCAGCTGGTGTTGGATCCTTGAAGAAGGGGAGGGGTGTTGCTGGTAAGGGCTCGGGAAGTTATTTCTTCGACCCTAATACTCAGATTGGTGCCATGGCTCCACTGGGCTACTTTGACCCAGCTGGCTTGTGCAAGAAGGGAGATGAGGCGACATTCCGCCAGCTTCGTGCTGCCGAGCTAAAGCATGGCCGTGTTGCGATGATGGCAGCTGTTGGCGCGGTCGCGCAACACTACGTGAGGTTTCCTGGTTTTGAGTCCGTGCCAAGCGGCCTGGCTGCTTCAATCACAGGCCCTGGAAGCTACGGCTTTGTGGCTTTGTTTGCCTTGGCTGGCATCTTGGAGCTTGGTGCTTGGACCGAGAGTGACAATAAGGAGCCAGGAAACTTTGGTGACCCACTGGCCTTCAGCCAGTACACCCAAGAATGGAGGGTCACTGGGTTGCAGAAATGTTTTCAATTTATATAAGGAGTTTTGGAACATTGGACATCGGAATGGTCGAGCACCATTCACGTTGCAAACATTTTCTCAATAATGGCCTTCAATTGCGGCACAAGCTTTTGTTTTTTGTTCATGTGCTGCGGAAGTCTTCAATGATTTTGTAATCACTAAGGAGCGAGAGATCAACAACGGCCGCTTTGCGATGTTTGCAGCTATCGGCATCATTGCAGCTGAGCTGTACACTGGCAAGGATGCCATTGAGCAGTTTGGAATGTAGAAAGCATGAAAGCTGCGCGTCGTTGCATGTGCGGTCCTTTTACACAAATTTTCGGGTATTGCTGCTTGAGCTGGTATAGATGAGCTGAGATCTACCATCCAGGTGACTCAAGTTAAACACAGAAAGAGAGTAGGTATTGGAGTTGTTGATAACGCTGGATGTGTAGATTTTGGAGCAGCGCCCTTCTCTCAGCATGAGTTTTCAGAGGCAACACTGGCCCAACAACGCTTGAAGCCAGTGCACTTGCCACTGTTAGGGTGCACAATGCATCCACAAACACATGCATATGGACGGTGCTTAGACAAATGCAGGCAATGGTAACGTTTTTTCGAGGTCGAATGCTGGAATGATAACAGTTGTAGTACTTGTTTTGAGTTACTGCCGCACTGCGGCAAGTGCAGTTGAACAGGTGGAATTATTGCCTCGTGTTTCACACAGTTTGCACCTGCGAAAGCCATGTCAATCTTGTTGAATCTTGCTGATGCTTTACAACATCATCGCATTTAGACGCCGTGGAACAAATCATTTTTGGCCTCATGTTGTGCGGTCTTAATCAACCTCTGAGCGATACGAGGCCGAGATGAATGCCCCGATGGATGATGCCTTTCGGAAGCTGAAAGAGCAAGGGCCTCCTCAATGGTTTGTGGAAGCCATGACGCGGTCCTGGCAGGTCTTCAGCTGCACTTTCACAGGTTTGGAATGGCATGCGTACCGTCCCCGCAAACTGACGTAGAAGAGTGGTCATTAGTGGTAGAACCTGGGAGAAGAGACTTGATTAGTTCCCAACGTTTGCCAACCATCTTTAGCAAGGAAGGGTTCCGAAAGGTTTTGACAGCTGGTAAGGGACAACTGAATTCAATATCCAGGCGGTTGTGTTGGGCCACAGCTGAGGAGGCATGCATCATGCCGTTGGTATCTAACCAAGCGCCTGGTAGTACAAATCTTACTGGCACACACATCGAGAAGGACGGAGGCCGGTCTCCTGATCCTTGATTCTGATGTTTGAAACATGGGTAAGCCGGGGTGTTTGGTTGCATGTGTTTTATATTGCAATGATGTGCAGGACTTGGGTTCTTGAGTGGGTGCGAACAGGGTCCCGAAGTAGAATGTGAAGCGAAGTGTACTGATTCCGATGCAGGCGGAGGAGTTTGGTGTTCCACCAACCCTTTCGACTTCTATGTTGGCTGGTGAAATGATCCAACCGATTTTCGGGCACCAAAGCCAGCAACTTGGATCATAGGCAGCTCCTAATAGCTCCTGCATGGATCAGTATCATACTTTCAGGCTCCTGAGAAGTCATTCGACAGGTTTGACCACATACATGCATCATCCAACATGTTTGGTCCTCGTGCTGTTCTTTGAAGTCTTAGGATTGCGGATTCCGGTTGGACACCAACTGAAAAAGGAGCGCTTGGGCGAGCCAGGAATGCTCAAGAGAAGGCCAAGCAGTCACCAGGTGGGGGGCGACTCGTGTTGCGACCGAGTCGATGGCCAATGGGTCGCTCAGCCGTGGGCTCCTAGAATCTCCTGTGATTTGCATTGTGAAGAGACCGCCAACATGCGATGGTTATATTACGATGGTTTTAAGTTTTAAGAGTCGGGCTTCATCACTCAGCAATGCCTCTGAAAGTCCCCATGTACCCAGATCCTTGAGGATCTTGGGATTGATGTTTGCAAGGCGATTTGAATCATCGGAACATGATATATGTAGGAAATGTTCCTCAAACATGTTTGTTTGTGAACCACTCAAAGCTTTGATAAACGGTTCGAGTAGCATCGCTGTAGGGGCAGTGAAATTCTATCAACACGAGTGCGTGCGACTGGAGACAAGTAGCGTGTTGGCATGTTGTTTGGCAAGGCTAACCATTTTGGAACGCTATGTATGGTTGTGTAACGCATCAAGTCATGCATGCATATGCCAATCTGTTTATAGCACAAAATATCAAACACAACATATTATAGCATCGAAACACATTCCATATTTGGAAGGCTTGACCATCACGTCAGGCACTGCTGACGGGACCGCTGTGGAGCAATGAGCGCTGTTTGTCAGCTATGCATTGGAGGCCAGGAGAAGGCCGTAGGCTCTCGGGCTTGCTCATTGGAGGCTTTGTTGGCAGCTCTCGAACTTGAGACTGAGACGCCTTCTCCTTTGATGCCAGACGTAGCTTCAAGTGATCTGAATTTGAGTGGAAGGCCCACATCTGCCGAGCAGTTTTGTAGCAATTAGACTGTCTCTAGAAGTTTTATGAAGTTTTCATCAATGTTAAACACACACACAGATACAATGACCGGGCTTTGTTCTGGGTAGTTATTGTATGCTAATGTGTGTCGTTAAGTGAGAGCTTGGGTTAGAGTCGATTGTGGGTAGAAACAAGGGTTTTTGGTGACCCAAATTCTGTAGAGACAGGATATATATATATATATATACAAGAAGCTAGTAGGTTGGAGGCCATTGCTATTAGGTTGGAGGCCATTACTACTAGCAGCATTCTTGCTATAGAGAATCATTTTCCCATTTGCGGAGTTTTCGGAGGCTGGATCAAGAAGCGGTCGCTCCTGAGAGAGTCCCGTTTATATAGATCCAAACAAATCACCAAACGCCTATGGTGCCTCATTGGATGTCACAGCCCGTTCACGCCTCCTTAGTTTGGTTCAGCTGGTCTTTTCAAATGGGCGCTGCCACAGTGCATGTTCAACTGCATGTCTTGTTTCACAGAGCTTGTTTGGGAGGACCCCAGCAAGCTCACTATTTTCCATTCACAAAAGTGATCTAAAGTGGTATTTGTTGGTCCTGGAATTGGAATCACATTTTGATATCTATCATGATCTATCAATATAGAAACTTATTGGATGATTTTGCAGGACTTTGAACCTTTGCCAGGTAAATGGCTGAAGTGAATTGTGAGTAGGGTATGGCTCCAAACTACAAGACAGACACCCCACAGATTCAGATGCTCCCGGTATGTTCCAAGAGGCTTGGGTGCTTTTGTTAGCACGAGTTGTTGAGTCAGGCCAAAAGCGACCGGACAAGGTGACCAAGTTTAACCGTATAGCTTACATGGGGTGGACAAGATGACCTGGGGCTCCTTGGCAGACTTGCACCAGGTGTTCGTTATATGACTGTGTTTCTTCATATACTTATGACAATTATGAGCAAACAAACACATATCATGTTCTACTATAGGTGTTTTGTGGCTCTGTCAGAACCCCTTTCTGGTATTGAATGTTGTGACCACTTTGTTTGGTTTGTCGGCTTCAGGTTCTCTTCTGGCCTCGGCACTGCACAGGCTTTTGCCGCAGCAGTGGCCAGGGGGGCGATGGAGTGAAACACTCCATATCATGAGAGTATGTCCGAAGCGTCAACCCACAAGCATCAGCCAATCCTTGGCAAGAGCAGCTTGCAGAAGAAAAAAGCACAACACAGTGTTCCATGTTATTTATTTTTGTTGTTTTTCGATTGTTGGAGGGAGGGAAGTCCAGAAATCGACCCATCCCGCCATGCACAGCGGAAACGGTTTGCGGTGTCTCCTGCAGCGCCTGTGGTTGTGGCACACCCTCGGCCTGTTCCTTGCTGCCGCAGACACCACCCCTCCGGTGTGTCCTGGCGTTGAGATTCAAAGGGTTACCCGAGATCTCCTAGTAACAGTAGCGTCCTTGCTCCTAGTAGCGATGCCAGGAGCCCCTAGTAGCTTCTTGTTGCTAGTAGTAAGGCCAGGAGCCCCTAGTAGCGTCCTTGCTCCTAAACTCGAGGTTCTATTTAGGGGACTCACATCTTGCGAGTAGCCATTGTAAACCAAAAGCACTGGACATACTTGCACAGATCTGGAGGAGGACTAGTGCCGTGGACGGTGATCATGATTAAAGCAGACCCAATTGTCACCCGCGTCTTGCCTGCCACTTCTTGTGCACCCTGACCTCAGGCGTTGAGCGTTTCAATGTTAAGCAGACGCTTCCAAGTGGCAACATATGGTTGATTCCCTCCCTGTACAAAGAAACTAAACCAATAATTATAATACATACAATCAATCGAGCATGAAAAGGCCGTTCTCACAGCATGCTGATCCTGAATCCAGGTTGCACATCGAGGATGCCCAGCCCTTTATTTTTCACGTGCTCATGACGGTGCCCCCCCCCACACACACTACGCGAAAAGCGTTCTACGTTGTGGGAGCAGGATTTTGATCGAACAACTCAGCTGGATGTTCGATTTAAGCTACGGCCATTTGTTTTGCTTGATCATGTGGTGAGATGTGGCCATATTTTGTAGAGATGCCTGAGGCTATAGAGTTTTGAGTGCTTTGATATTTCATATTTTGAAGATAGTGCCAGGAACACATGCTTGCAGAGGGCTTGTTCGGCTTACTTTCCGCACTCCGTGTAGTTGCAGCTAGTTGCAGCTCCCTGTGTGATGTTCTTCGCCATGCTACAGGTACGACTCAACGAGGATGGCACAATCTACTGTGGCGCTTTAGAAACTCTCAGCAGCTACACGCCTAGCATTGCTCAGAAGCTTGGTGCGACGCATTTGGATCTAGACCCAGTGAGCCTAGTGAGCCAATCGGCTGTATGATTTTTGCAATTCTACAGCGCGTATCCTCAGTTGAGCCCAGGAACTGATAGCCTTGATAGCTGATGTTTTTAAAAACATGGCAAGTGAGACCTTTTTTGAGCCACCCAGGTAGTTTCCTTGTTATGATTGTGGATAAAAAATTGTTCGAGGGAGCCTGCTGAATAACGAGCATACTTCCTCAAGAGTCACCCTTCTCACCCGATGCTTTGTCACGCCATCATGTAAATCTTATGCCAACAGTTTGCGAACTTCATGAAGCTTGACTGCTAAAGACTGGCCTGGATGCCCAGTCTTCGTGCTACCAGATTGAGTTGTCACGCTTTCAAGGTCGAACTTCCGCAGAACGGTTGAAGATGGTTGAAGGCAACACACCCATCTGTTCGTTGCCCTCCTCAGGATGAAGTCGGGCACTGGCTTGGTGGGCCACGATTACGCTTCTGTCACTGCCAACAGCGGCCTGGCAAAGGTGATTGACCGGCGGATGTTTCTGTCCCGACGCGGTGATTCGGACGCTTCCTTTGAGGTGACGTGAATCTGGTGGTGGGCATCCTCACGCCAGCCACGCTCTACGACGTGTTTTGCCGGGTGTCCCAGAACGCTGTGGATTTGGGGCTACAGGCTTGATCGAAGCAGTGCTATACAGTGCTCCAATCGGAACTCAAGTTCCACAGGCCAGCTGTGCTTGTGAGCGTTGACAGCTAAGAAACATCGTCTTTGTTTATAGTATAGGTCGATGACTACCTACCCTCCAAGTCCAAGATTGACATGTTGTGTAAAAGGTGGTGCTGGATGTAGTAACCCCAGCTCAAAAACATGTTCCAGATTTCCAAGGTACTGGTACACTGCTGTACACTTCCAGGGGCTCTTTCATCCTGAGCTTATTGAGCTTCACCCCATCCCAGTCCCGCCATGGAGGGTGTCCTGCACTGCCACGACCCAAGGCTATGCGGAGGATTTGTTTGTGAATGGTTTGACCTTGGCCCAGGTGGGCAACCGATGACTGGGCACTCATGCGCCCCGGGTGTTCCAAACAACGAAGACCTGTCGGTGAGGACCCAGGACCAACTCGAACGTACAGGAGTTCGAAAGCTAAGGGACAGTGTCCTGCAATGGACTTGGTTTGCGGTTTGCGATGTGAATGGACCTTGTTTGCCTCTACGGCTCAACCTCTCAGAAACCGTTTTAAAAATGTTTTCTTCACGCTAGGGTCCCTGCGGCTGCCTTAAATAGCCAAACCACAATTTAGTGCTATAACATATATTTTTATGTGATGGTTTTCCAAGCTTGTCAGGGATTTCCTGAGAGAAGTCGCTTACAGTGACCTTTTTCCGCAAAATGCAGAGAACCCAAACTCTGAAAGCTCATCCGACGGTCTTGGGAAGGGGATGACCCCCAAGAAGCGTAGCAAAGGGCATCGCTACTAGGAGCAAGGACGCTACTAGTAGCTCCTGGCCTTACTACTCGTAACAAGAAGCTACTAGGAACAATGGGAAGGGGATGACATAGACATGTAGATTCCAAGAGTATCAACACCATAGATACAGGGCCGTAAATGTCATTGCCACAGAGTCGATTCTACCGGAAAATCTACTTCAAGAGTGTCTTGTTCCACCCAAATAAAGTTTATCGGTTTATCCCACAGACGGATCTTTCTGTACAAACCTGTAAAAGCATCCTATTGTCCATTGTTTTCTCAGTTGTCTTGGGTGGTTTCCCTTGAACTGATACGACTTGACCGGGCCGCAGGTGGCTGGCACCAAGACCAGCTTGGCCACGGCCTCGGGCGGCGATTACACGGCGCCCACCTTCAGCTGCTTGGCGTATGATTTTTGGATAGTAGGATTAGGATGTACTGTTCTACAATAGGCCGAAGAACCCTGAATCCAAACAATGGAGTGAAAAAGAATTCAGAATCCAACAACCGTGCAACTGTTCTTCTTCCACGTTCAGAAGAAATGTCGCAGCAAGACTACCAGTGCAACTTTCAGGTCTTTGTCGCTCTGTGTCTCAGACTTGAGGCTACATCTCGCCGAACTACCAAGTTGAAAGCATTGCAATGACCCTTTACTTTCAGCTGAGCGAGGATGGGACTGTTTGGTGCGTGGCCAAGGTTGATACAGGCGCACAACGGGCTTGTTTTTTATCACTCTGGAAGTCTTGCAGCATGTTGTGCTTCAGATTTCCTTTGCACATGGCGTGATTGGTGGGATGCTACTTGGTGTGAACTTGATCGGATTAAGTCCTGGATAGTCCTCGGCGGTCTTGATTTGTTCAGCCGTGGCAGGCTCTGGCACCACCAGACCTTTGGCCTCAGACTTCTTGTTGGACCAAAACGTGGACGCTTGGGGCACGCAGACGGTGTCTGCGGCACTGAGTTATCAGGCCCGACTGGGCGGGCTGGGAGGGAGGGGAAGGAGCCTGAAGGAGCATTGACAACCACGACCTTCCGTGAAACGTCCGTTCGATGGTGTTTGGAGTGCCAGCCTGTTGGTGGCTGTAAGCACCAGGATTCTTGACAGCGGAAGTAGCTGCCAGAGTTGAATAGACTGAATGAACATACACCGAGCAAGAGGAAACTATCACTTTGTGAGCCTTCGACGGTCAATCCAATTTGTTCTCTAGATTCCCCCAGGCTGTCCTGGACCAGCGTGACAACTGTGATGAGAATAGACAAACACATCTTGAATCTTGAAGGCCTTAAACAGGCCTTGCGTGTTTGAATCATGTCTTGCACTCTGCTTTGATAGGCCACAGACAAACAACAAGCCATCAGCCACTGCGCCATCATGTGCGATAGGTGGAAACAGACCACTGCACGGCAGAAACATGAGAAAGGAGACCTGGAAGATCCTGCAAGTCCAGTTAGACATACTGTGCTTATGAACATATGTATTTGTCTTTTGGCTGGAGAGGCACTAAGCATACTGCACAATACTGGGCTTTGCTTGAGGTAGTTTGTGTTTGATGGATCTAAATAGCAGAATCCCCTTCGACATAGTGGGTCCAAGTTTGCCAGGTCCAATGACATCCAAGTATATACTTCTACTCCAAGGGTAGACAAGCTTTGACCAAGATTGAGCACTTTTTGCTCTCACCATTCTGCTAAGGCTGCAAGTCGTATATGAGACAGGTCATGCAAAAGCTAGAAGCAATGTCAATGTGACATGTATATGATCTGTATATGACACCTTGTTATTTAATGAAACATCTTTGTGCCATCAAATTACTGCATGAAGTTAGTCTGTATGAAATTTATATATGTTCCTTGGACGAGCAACCGCAGCCGGTTGGACGCCGAGGCGTCCATCACCTTGACCGGGCTGACGGAGGACACAGACTACGATGTTTATTGTTTTGCCGAGGACTGGGGCTGGCCAAACGAACCCTACTGTAGAGGTCTCGTGAAGGACAGCCCTAGAGGACAAACGTTTGAGGCCTGGTCATTTGGTCCCACAAGACTGAAGAGTACATTCAGAGATGAACATGAAACTGTTTGTGTTCTTGAGATTTCTGAATGTTCAGGCGGGATAGAGAACTGGTCGGCATGATACCCGGATCATTCATTTGCAGGACACTGCGGGAAATTTTCTGGATGGTACACCTGCCCTGGCCTCTGACACAAGTGCCTTTGATTTATATAGTACATTCCAACCAGTTCGCGCAGCTTTATTAATGGGGTTCCACCAGGCTCAGCTCCTGGGTTTATGTCCGAACTTATATATGCATGTTATACATGTTTCACTGGACTGTTGAATCTCTATACATGGCTAATAAACAGGGGACCAAGTAGAGACATGTGACACGTGAAGACTCTCTTTTGATCCATGGGACACTCATTGGATCACCACGGCTTCCAAGGCAAGATCGATGCAACCAAGTTGGACGTTCGTACTCTGGCAGTGCTGATCGCCTCGCGGTTGAGCGTGACGAGCAGCCCAGGGACCCAGTGGCTTGTTAATCAGACTGTAGTTGATGGTTCATCTGAGGATCTTTGGGAGGAAGGTTGGACCAGAATCTTTGGAGCTTCATTTGTGTGAAACTGCATGCTTGCAGGGAGGATAGAAACTGGCATCAGTAGGTGTAGCGCTCAAGTCTTGCTTCAAACCGCCAAACATCAGCTCGTGTCGAACTGCGCCACCTATCGTAGTTGACCATAAGCAAATGAACCGCTGACGAAGTTGAGCTGGTTTGACCACACCCAAGGTACGTGGTGAAGCCCGCTGCTTGGAACACGGTGCTACCCATTTGCTCTCCAGCCACAGGGCCAAAAAGACGTTGTGAGGCTGATGCAGAGTCTTGGAGGATGACGCCACTCTATCAGAATCCTGGCTGCAGCGAAGCGTCATCACAGACCATCCTCACCATGGCAACGGATGGTTTTGTATGACTGAAGGTTGAATATGATGGAATATGAATCATGCATTATCAGACAGGCTCGAGTTGCAACATGTTTCAATCATTGAGCACACGATGGCACAGACATGATATGCCCTTCTTCTTCGGCTCCCGGAGTTGCATCGATGCATGTTTGGAGCGTTCCTCATGCGCTTGGAGTTCGTTGTACACATGCCTGCCCTCAAGGTCCAGCTGTGGAACACAGGCCACAGGGTTACAGTCAAGACAGATCGTAAGGTAAAGAATCATATGCAGCTCATTTCACAAGGATCACTGGCTGATGTGGCTCCCAAGGAATGTGAAGCTGATCTCTGAGGCTTCTCATTCGTCCAATGGATGTTGCTGGGCAAAGAAGTGATTCGTCCAATGAAGTTACCTTTGCAAATACTCACCAGCAACCTTGGTGGTGACGTCTCGAAAAAAGATCAGAGGACTATCCTATGGTCCCGTACTATCCTGACCTCCATGTTTCTTTTGCTTTGTATAGCAGAGCGCTCCGACTAGACGGCTGGGCTGTCACCCTCACTCGCAATGGAGCCGGCCGAGCCGAATGAACGGGGACTACCTTCATTGTTCTCCGATGTTTGGTGAATGAAGGCCCGCATGATGCGGTGTAGCTTGCACATCAGTATTTCCTCATATTTATCCCTTTGATATCCTTTGATCCCTTGTCCAAACAAACGGGAAAAGACTACACAAATAGAACGAACATTCTGCACGTAGAGAGGGAAATCTGTTTGTTGACTTTTCACAGGATGCACGCCCGCATCATTCCGATTGGTGGTCTTCTTCAAAGCAAGACCACATGGATCATCTAGTATAGGTCATTTATAAATAGTATACTTCAACTTTCATCTAGTGACTCTAGTCAAGAAGAAGAGATTCATGATGGAATATTTGCGTACTGAGGCTTTGGCGCATTGCTGGCTGCCCCACGCCATGGAGGGCCCTTCGCCCTTCTCCTTCGGCGTGGCAAGTGCCTCGTCCCGTGCGACCGGACACGTCAAGAAGTGGTCCGCCTTTTCGGTGGTCAGCACATGTTTTTGCAAATGTCCGAAGTTCAACACATTTCAACACAGAGCGTCACATACGACAACATGAGGGAGGTTCCCAGCGCGTGGTGTTTCTTCAAGAGATTCTGTTAGGCAAGGATAGGCCCTGCCTTTCTGTGGAAGTCCGCAGTTCTGGAAATGAGTCCAGGGGGCAACGACCATCTATTTTTGTTCATATCTCTTTCGGTACCTTTTAGTGATTGCTGTGTTTGGAGAAAGGACTAGCAAGAAGCTACTAGTAAGTTAAGTTTCCCTAAAATTCTAGGAACCAAATCATTAGTGCGAGCGCTTCAAAAAAGCTTCCCGCCGCCCGGGGGAGCTTCCTTGAAGAAGCGTCCAAGCGACCTCCTGCGGCCTACCCCGCCAGCCGCGGCCAGGTGCAGTTTTGCTCAGAAAGCCGAGAGGGCACTGGAAGCAGGCCGGAATGGACCGATTGAGCTGTACTTTGGGATATAAAACCATCAACCTCAATGTCGAATACTTTTTCAGATGGGTTGAGATAACCAACCGAGGATTATTCTGGAGTGGATTACTGACTGATTCTCCATTGATCGTTGTTGTCCAGTTTTGTTTGGTGACCGTCAGATTCCGATGGATCCAAGCCCCTTGGGCCCCTCGGGCAGGATATGACTTTTTGCTGATTTTGGACCATCGCACTGCTCTTCGACCGCACAGATCTTTGGGCGTTTTCGACCCATGATGCAAGAATAGAAACAAGTGCATCGCTTCTAGTAACAAGTGCCTTACTAGTAGTAACAATGTTCGCGAACATTGTTACTACTAGTAAGGCACTTGTTACTAGAAGCGATGCACTTGTTACACTTGTTCCTAATAGCTTCTTGTTACTAGTAATAAGATGTATGATGATCATTGATGATCACATTGCCCAGGTGATCATAGTCATGATTCATGATATGATAGTCGTCGTACATATGATGTATGCCCATGTTGTGTCTTGGAAGATATGATCCACTGTTTCCAAGCTTCAAGTTTGCTGCAAAAGAAGCAGAGATCAACGCTTTCACCACCGCAGAACCGCAAATGTCTTGCCACCCAGAGCCGGCCGTGCTGGCCAATTGGGCACCACCCGACGACCCAGGTGTCCTCGAGCTTCCTGCCAGACATGACGACAGATGGCGGTAGCATCACCATTCCGAAGCTTGGTTTGCAAGGCTTTCAGGTGCCAGAGCTGCTCACGGAAGCGATGTTTGAAGCACATGCACATGTTTCAAGTGCCAAGAAATCGTGCTCGAGCACATGATGTCGAGGATGTGGGTGTTTGTGCCAAGCGTGTTTGATTTTGTGCTAAGGTTTTAGCCCAAACAGTGTGCGGCTGTGACTCAAAGAAAGATCAGTGAACAAGATGTTCGGTGTCACCTCATACTTGTTGTCCTTTTCTTCCTGGTGCGGCACCCGTGCCATCCAGTGCCCGCTGACTGTGGACGTCCTGCTCGTAGTTCCCAGGACTTGGGTCATGAGCAAAGCTGATGGGGAGGCCATGCTGCTCTTGAGCCCTGCTGCAGGACTGGTGGCCAATCGTGGGAGTCGAGGAGAGAGATGAGAATGGACGAGATGATGGTTATTGGATGGTAAGCATTTAGTCAGGAGAGAGATCATCGACCCCCTTTGCGTGGTGCCGGTAAAGGCTTGATTTGCATATGTGTTGTTATTTTGTTGAGTCAATGGTCCATAGCTTAAGTAGGATCTTGAAGGTACTATAGGTTCTTTCCTAAGTGCTTAAGGATTGCACTTCCTTGCACTTCCGGCCGTTGAAGCATGGGAGACAATGTGGACCCTTTTCACCGCTTTCCTGGAGTGTGTTGTGTTTTCAATGTTCATGACCATATTTGTGCACCATCGTTCCTTCAAACCTGATATTTGATGTGCATCTCCAAACGAAATACCTCCACAGTAGCATAGACATCCGTAGATGTTCAATCTTCCTGCCGCCTCAAGGATGTGAAGTTTCGCTGTTCTTCCTTGGACACCTTTTCCGGGAGACCGTCCCTCTTCCGGCGACGGATCGAAGGAGATGTCATGTGTCGCTCGGTGAACCGGTCGGCAGGATATCTCACCATGGAGATCGAAGATGCGCACCGAGTCCCATCCATGGGACTCTACCAGAGCGATGTTTATGGGCAAAGGATCTATACCACGCAGTGAGGTTTTTCGAGAACCTGATGACCGAGACTGGAGCCAATGGAGAGGTTGGAGTTTTAGCACTGGAACTGGCCTTTGCCATGGTGGATCATGGTGGTCCAGGAGCAAATTGGGATCTTTGAGCTATGCGTCTTTCATACTTGCAGCTGCCCAAGGGCTCATTCGCACTCCACAAAATTGTAGGGTGGATGACAGTGGATGATGTTTTTTTCACTCTGACCAGGAAGCTAAAAGGTCATGTTTCATGCATTAATGATATACTCACACAATCTCTCACACACACACAACACTCGGGGGCATCCTCTCATGCACAGTAGTTTTTATAAAAAATTCAGTGTCACTGAGTCCAGCTTCAGCGTGGCTGCTGGTTGTTTCATGTTGTTTCATTTTGCAACCTCACACTCCGCTTTCTCGACGTCCAGGACTCCTTCAAGCTTGGAGCAAATGGTCCCTGTGATGAGCTTTATTTTGGTCTTAAAGACATCCGCACACCTTCACCGACGAGCAGTTGTGGCGCCTTGGACCGGACTTGGCCGATCTTACAGCTAGAGGGGAAATCTCAGGCTATATAGATACTTAAGACTCATGAAATCTCGTGAATATAGCATGTGATATCATATGAGTATTCATTCAATACAGACATATAGATTGCGGAATCTAGCTTTTTGTGCCCTTTTCCGTATCATATCGGCAATTCGTTTGCTTTGCAAATGCTCTTATGCAATTGCTATCACGTGGAGAGTGATAAGACAGCATCATGCTCCTACCCAAGAGAACAGCTGGCTGCGCAGTACCTGGTGGTTTGAGAGCGGGTGTGACATTGAAAGCCAAACATGCAATACTAGCCCAGGCATTATGAGGATAGATAAGTTGGACATGTAAAAAGTTGGTATTGTAAACAACATTAAATAACTTTGTCACGCATCCTTTGATTTGTGTTGGACAGATGGCAAGACAAGACCAAAGCGGGAGTTCAATACAGTTCAATACTATTCAATACTTATATAATCTTATATATACTTATTAATAAAATGTCAATAAGATTATATGCCTCAACATGTCTCATAAATATTTACCCTATTTCATCATACTAGGAGGCTCACCTGTGCTAAAAAAACCTGAACAGTGCCAGAAGGGTTGGGAAATGTTGGGAAGCTGAAATTAACTTACCAATCCGTACACAGATCTATCCTGTTCGCATTGCCGCTGGCCACCAGGGCCAAGGGTCTACAGTATCCTCCGAGTTCGTGCCATCGAGGCATGAATGCGCGGACTCCATCGCATGGAACACCATCCGGCTGCCAGACATGGCGAACTCGAGCGGGCTCCGGTGGGTTCAGGCCGCCTGCTGTGAACCTGGGAACCGATGCTGATTGGCGGATGCATGGTTTGATCAGATTGCTGGGTATGTCCCAAAGCAGTGGGTATGTCCCAAAGCAGTGGGTATGTCCAAAGCTTAGTGGCGCTGGTACATGTGGCAATGTGATGGCTGTTTTCAGTAATTTTGCTTAATGACCGACAGGATCCAAGAGTGAACCCACACATTGGGAAGCTATGTGGAACTCGGGCCCAACAGTGGAGCGGGCCACGGTATGATGCCTCGATAAACCACTCGTTGGTTGGAAAGAGTGACAGGAATGGTTTGGGATCACTGCGATCGCTCTTGGGGTTGTTTCTCAACCAAGGGCCCAGCCACAACACAGTCAGCGGGTGTGCGTGTGTGTACTAGAGTGGGTTCCTTCAATCAAGCACCTGTTGGGCCTAAAGACTTATAATTACTTATAAGCAGGTTGACGAATTGAGATGGTGTTGGACGTCATTGAATGGGTGAGTGACGGTTAGACATCACTTGGTTGGACATCAGACAGATTCATCTCATCAACCACTTGTCGGTCGGAAAGTTTTATAGGGGTACACTCTTCTGCAGCCTGCTGGCTAGTACGACCCCTTCTGGAGCGCGGGAACACTTGACATTTGGTGGTGTGCAGCACAGCAGTCTTCAGCCCAGCTTGATGTCACATTTATTCTGCTGAGTTGCTCACATGTTACTTGGTGGATGGCTTTGGGATGCAGAAATAAAAAGTGAATAAAGCATAGGTTATACCACTTGCACGGCATAATATATAGAGGACTTATGAGGACTTGTATGCAAACGCACAAAACTTCAAAAGAAACGTACAAGCATGTAAACACATGTACATACAAACATGTACAAACTAGGTCCACGGTGTGTTGGACAACTTCAAGATGGCCACCATTGAAAATATATAAGCAACATGTAAAAAAACACTCAGTGACAATGAGGGTAATCTTTGGCATATTTTGGCATTGTTGTTGGACAGTGGTTTCTCCGTGAGTTGGCAAACAACATCTCAAAACAACTTCCAATGCAAACAGCAAAATGGTTCTGATGATAAGCACGGATGAAGCAAATTATAAACAAACGATCAAAAATTCATCCTGGGGTCACCCGCGACTTGGCGTGCACACCGCGGACTCTTTATACAGACAACTGGCACAGTGGCATTCGTGCCATTCGCGCCAAACACTGTCAATGACAGCTTGTTCTGGGCACGTCATTCCTCAGGCTCCCCACACAAGATACCACTCCTGGGGTGAACGTTCATAGGAATCATTCTGGTTTCATGACTGATCTGGAGCCAAGTGGTTCGAACGGTGGACCTGAAGTGGTTCGTTGTTGATCTTCAAGTGCAGTGGGCCTGTGTGTGGCTGGACAGAGAAAGTTGTGAATGTTTCACCGGTTTGCCAACCATGATTTAGTTTAAGACTGTTCGGACTTGAAGAACATGTAGTGTCGACATGTTTCTTGTTGAGCCCTCTTCCCAGTCCAGTAAGAGTCTAGTACAGACATATCGTGGCCGCTGGCAGGCCTAGAGATCGACCGTCTTTCAAGCAGCACGCTTGCTGAAACCCTGTGATGCCAGCAGTGGATGCAGCAAAAGTGCGTAATTAGTTTGACAAACCAGCTCTTCCTGGAGGAACAGTTTTGCGAGGTGATGCAGAAGTGTATCATTGCGATCAGTTTGATATCAAGAAGCCAATGTCATCCGTTGAGTTCGGGCAAGAGTATTGCTGTGAGCATTGAGCATGTCGCGTGAGCAGATTGTTCATGTGTTCTTTGTAGCCGGCGTTTGAAGGCCATGGGGCTCATAGAGCTATGCGACCCCAGGGCGGAAGAGTGCTGTAGAATCCTATGAGCAGGAGTTGTGGATGGTCGAGGGTGAGGAGTCCTGACCAAAAGCATGTCAAGTACCGACTCTATATAGAAACAAGTGTTTGAATGTTTGAGGTGCGCATGTTTGACCAATCAAACTCCCAGGCACAGTAGTGCCAGCAATCAAACAGCCTCCAAACACTTACATTTGCTCTTAGAGCATCTATTTGTCGAAGTGATTCAGAAACCCAAGCCACAAGCAAACAGGGTATCGAGTGGTGTTTGGCTTCTAGGAGACGATCATCGCATTTGTCAGGTTCATGTCAAGCAGGTCATTCACATCCTAACCACTCTGGAACCAACCATTCAGATGCAGCGTTGGATGGCGAAGATGTACCGCTGGAGATGGGGATCCTCACGCAGTTGATCTCGCTGATCCAGGTGGGTAGCTACTCCGCTACTTTCAGGTGGTTTTGGACGCAAAGATCTTGGTGTCCAGAATTCTATAGACAATACGTGTCAAAAGACGGTTAGATTTAGAGTTAGTTCAGACTCGTTCATTGCAACTTACATCCCCTTCAGCAAGCTCTTCCCAACATAGCACTTGAGTGAGATCACACAGAGGTCAAGTCAACCCGCACATCCCTGTGGTTAGAAGAGTAAACACGAAGTTCACCCTGACCCTAATCTTCAAGTTCACCTGGACCTCCCGCGAATTCCACCGAGCTTTGCCCAACCAACCAGGATCCCTTTGCGACGACACCGACCCGCGCGGGTTCACACCGAGCCGCGCAGAGCTCGCAGCTGACCGAGGACCGGGGCGTTCGAAAAATCAAAGACCTCCGCGGGACGTGGGTTGCTCGAGGGTTGAAGACATTCTTGATGAATAGACCCCATTGGATTACAAAGCCTCTTCATGTATATATATAGAATAATATAGTATGTTTTAGTTATATAATCAAGAGTCTTTTGATGATCAGACCTGGCACAACGAAGGGATTTGAAAGGAGACGCATGGCCCAGGGATCCGTGTGCGAACAAGGTCGTGTTCTTGTTGCAATTGTTTTTTGATGGTTGGATGGGGTTATATCAGTCAAATCAAAGAGGACCATGAGGAAAGTGAGGAACCTCCACCACCGATGGGTCATCCTAGGTCGCATTTTTGTAGGGGGCCTACTGTAGGTCCTTTTGTTTGAGTCCCTTCGGGATGGGTTCCAACAAAGGGCCCTAAGGCACTAAGGGATCCTAAGGGTCATTGAGTCGGCATTGAGTCGGTGGGAGGCCAATCTCCTCCATTACAGCCACATGCCATGCCCTTATCTATGCCGTGTGGCAACAAGATGCAACAAGTGGTTGGACATGGTTTCAATATGTTTGAATGATTTAAGTGACGTGAGGTTTGATGTTGTTTGAACCTCCAGACTGCCCTGGTGGCAGGACCTTTGGCCATGTTGCTCGGTGACGACTCAAAGGGCGCAAACATTGGATTCATTGGATCATTAGGGGGTCGCCTACACCAAGTGAATTTGCTCGCCATTAGACATTTGTGCGATCCATCACTTGTGATTTGAGAGGGTAAGAGAGTCACTCATGTGTTTGCATGCAGAAACTTTGTGCACATCAAACCACTTCGTGCATATTTATACTGCGAAGCCCGCCATCGTCCATCGCTTCTTGTTACGACTAGTAAGGCACTTGTTACGAGAAGCGATGCACTTGTTTCTACTAGCTTATTGTTACTAGCGTCTAAACACCCACTGCACTGAGTCGCCCAGTTTCTTTCGGCCCCTGGAGCTGAGGCGTACAAAAGCGGAGGGCACAGGCCGGCGAGCGTGGCAAGCACAGTTTCAACTGATGCATTCCAGATGGCGTGTTCCTTCGCAAAGCGGAGATTCACGGGAATCAAATTCACGGATTCACAGGTGTTATTATATGTTATTATTACTTATTACATCTTATTACGATACAATTGAATTATAATCCAACTGACTCTTCTGCATAGAAACTCATGATCTGATAATGATCTCATTCAACTATGGACGGACGTAAAATCTTTGCCAGACTGAACGGTCACAGGCGGCGTCCTTCCTGGCGGCCAAGCCGGGCGCGTCGCCAGCGCCGGAGAGTTCGGGCGACCGGGTTATCCGCAGCTTGGAAGAAGGGAGGGCGGATGGGGTGGATGCTGTGGAGATGGATGAGGTAGGTATGGGCAATTGTATGGGTGTGATGGGTTGGGTGCATGTGAAAGATGGAAACAACAAAAAACATCAAACGGGATCCTTAGGATGACGCATGGGGTAAATAAGTAATTATGAGTTTACAACGATTACGATATGTATATATAACTATATATATAACTATAATTTACATATGTATTATGTATAATATATTTATATATACATTGTTAAATGTATACGTAGTATTATATCAATATTGTTATACTACACTATTTATATTATTATGTCATAACATGCCAATACAAAGTTCCCTTCCACTTCCGTTGAATGGATCCCAACGCACCGGCTGAGGTGTGCCCGCTGGCTACGGTGATGGTGACGGCGACGGCCTTCCCGGTCAAGGCAGCGAGTTCGGGGAGTGACTCCCAGGTTGGGTAGCAGTGCTTCAAAACTATATAGCACTGCTATATATAGGTGATAGTTTCTATATAGGTGATAGTGACTCCCTGTTTCACCTATATAGAAACGATCACCTCCCTGAAACAATCATAGAAGTGGAATACAGCCTGTTCGTATTCGGAAAACAGTCTTGCCAGGGGGCATGTTCCATCTTCCATGTTTGTTGGATGGAGGGTAGGTGTTCAGTTAGTGACTCGCAAGAGTTTTTTATTTCAGTAAGCACTTCGTCACTAAGGTCAAAGTAACCAGCGAAGAAGGCAGATGATTGACAGTGAACGGGTACAACGGGTGTGGATTTTGGGCTCGCAAAAGTTTGACAATTGCCCGGGATTGCCAGGCTGAAATGGCCAAGGCTTTTTGGAAACATTACCTATTAGAACTTGGCAATATATTTGTCAATGGCCGAAATGCTTGTAAACATGTGGTCATTCCGTGTGCACGGTGACATATCGCTGCCAGTTTATGTGTGTTTTAAATGTTTTTTTAATAGTTATTTTAGATCATAGGGATATCCTACCCACACAGCCACCATGGTAAGTCCTGCGGACCGCGGATGCAGCACCGGAGGTTACCAAGGCAACATGGCTGGCCATGGCATGGCTGGATTTGACCAGGGCGACTTGGAAAAGTGAGTGTCGTTTATGGGTCCTTTGGTTGTTGAGCTGTGTAGTTGATTGATGTTGATGCATTATGCATGTCCAATCAGTTGCACAAAAAGGCTGCTTTGTTGGACTCATCAAAGATTGGGATCTGGATCGCCACCATTTCGGAGAGCTTTTGTCAAATAACGAGGCTATGGCTATGGCATGGATGAAAGCTACAGCCAGCCGGGCATGGTGAACCAGGGCAACTATGGCATTCAGGGGCTGGCAAATGGCACCTTTGGAGGCCAAACTCAATACAGCAAGTGTCTTTTGACCTTGCATTTTGGGAGTCCCCAATTGTAAAACACTACAAGCAGCCTTGGCAGTGAACCTGACCTAGACAGAACTCAGCATGGCTCCAGGCGCTTCAGCTGCCGGCGCCGGTGCTGTTGGTGCAGCGGGCGGTGCCGCCGGCGCTGCTGGTGCTGGGACGAAGGCATGGGCAGGGTCCATGGGCCACATGGGGCATGACCAGGTGAGGAAGGCCTTGGGAGGGATCTGATCTGGATCTAATGGCTCTCGCCGCGTCTATAATATAGAATCATCTAGGTCACACAGATTCATCATAGATTGTAAGGATATAAGGATATAATGCACCACACAAGCTCACCTTTTAAAAAGGCCACCGACAGTTCGTAGTGTCTTTTTGCAACGCCTTGCCAGACGGTGAAGATGCCCGCACCCGGGCTGGGACCCTGAGCTTCGCGAGCGCACGCACTGTTGGCTTTTGGCTCCACCAAACTGGAGAGGATGGAGATTTGGTAGTGATTCGTTGTGTCTTTTCCAGTTTGCCACGGTTTTGCTAGGATGGCTAGGTCGGCAAAGCAAGTCTCATACTCATACTACTGCCTTTGTTATGCTCAATAATACATTGATTGTCTTTTCCAAAAGTTGGCCATTGGCGGCCAGCGCTGATGAGATGCTGTAGAACCGATTGAGTCGTCCCCAATGTCCCACACTGATTCCCCATGGAATCCTAGGAAACACAGCGACCTTGTCAGCTATTTCAGAGTCGGTTCGGAAGACAACAGGCCTGATTCCAACTTTCATCACAGGCATATGGTTTGGTCCAAAAGGTTCTATTGCAGATTCAGGTAGGACATCTTGCCCCAGGGTTCGTCATCAGTATGTCATGTCATAGAGTCACCGTCGTCGTGTCACGTCTCAGAGCCTCCCCACCGTGTCACCTCTCAGCCCCTCGATGGGGTGGAATCGCTGGCATGAAGCGATGCCCACCCAGGTGCAACCCTGGGAGCTGTCCAGACCCTCCAGAGCCTGGGATGGTGTGCGAACCCTGCAGGGACGCCCGGTTTGTGATGCCCGGTCAGTGGGAAGAGGAAGTGGGAAGTCGGTGAAATGGGGTCGAGTGGTGGTGTCGCCAGGGAGAGGAACTGGATGTTTTGTGACTTTGGGATGGTTTAGTGACTAGAAATCACGTGTGGCCAAAATGTTGCAAGGTCCTTGGCATTTTTGATATGGGGCATGGAAAGGCTTCATGATAAGTGAATATGAGAGTCAAGGGACTTTGTACACATTGACCGTGGACGCATAGGGACGCTATCCCTCAAGACCCATATCCATATCACGGTTTCAGAGTACATGGCACAAACCCAAAGATGTCTTTTGCAGGTCCTACAAACACCACCGACCTTTAGGGATGGTGCCATGGGCCCTCCGAACCCCACTGTGGGCTCCCTATTTTTTCAACCCCCTCACCCTATTTTTCCAACCCCCC